TATCAAAAAGAAATACTTTCCACATTTTAGCAAAAGCCCACCTTGACAATCAAACACACTGAATGTGTTACACAGACATATAAGCAGTCATGATATCCTGCTTCACCTCGGTATTTTGAGACAATGTTCATACATACCCTGTTGAGATCCAATGACCTTCTAACCGTGGTGGTAGAACAGCTGAAACTCTCACACCGTCCTGAAGGTGGCGCAATTGGTACTGGCACTGAGGCGTCCACTGTACTTTTTCTGAGCTGAGCTGGCTGATTTGTGCTCTGGGGACATCCCATATTTTCTTTCCAGATACAAAAGCTTGAAAGAAAAATTAGATAGATATATTTTAGCATACAGAGATAGAGAACTCTCAGGAAACAATGCTTCAGTTCCTAAAAAGAAGTGATAGCATTTGTTAATAGGAAGGAGGTTTCCAAGATATCACTTTTCCTCTGCAATTGCATAAAACGTCACAGTGATGTCCATTTTACTATTATGAAGATTATTAAGGCTTGTCTGTTAGAGAACTGAAATAGCAATAGGAATAACTTTTAAAATGTCACAATTTAATAATAATAGTTCCAGAGTGCCAATAGGATTCGGCCCCTTCTGTCATGCATATATAAGCATGTGATATCAAAAAACAAAGCAAAGTTTTCAGTACCAGGCAGGTATTTCCACATGTGATGGACATGCAAAAAAACAAAAAGCAAATTTTGGCGACGGATTCAGATATGGTTAGAAAAAATGATTGGACAAAGATTAGAATTTAAAGCAGAATTATTTTTATTAGGGATTATAACAGAGGGTCTTATTAAGGGTCAACATATTTAATATTGCTCATTATGACAGCAGTGAGAATGGTCTACGCCCAACAATGGAAAAGTGAAAATACACCTTCAGAAAGAGAGATAATAAAGAAAATATTGGTTTGCGCCGAAATGGATAGACTTGATGTTAGAATTAAAGAACAAAGGAGAGACAGAATATCATGATATATGGAATAGATTTTACCAATGGTTGGAACAGAGAGGTAGGAAGTTGGAACACGAAATAAACAGGATTTGTAGACCTGAAATGTGATGTAATATGTGTAAATACAAATGAGCATAAATGGACAGAATAATTGTATATAATTAGTAAGGTATGATGAGTATATCTGATATTTGTTCTATATTTTAGTGTGTATGGCGGAGATAATGCCATGATGGTTGCACTGTATCTGATATTTTAATATGAAATGAGTAAAAATTATTTAAAAAACAAACCAAAGTTTTATTGTCTTTCATATTTTATTTTTGCTTTTGAGCTAAGACTGTTAAGTCATATGACCATGTGACTGTATTACTTGGCTAAGATTTAATTGTTTAGCAGTCTCAGCCCAACTCACTGCACAAGGTTGTCGCTGTGGGGAAGATAGGAGGAAGAAGAAGTGTTAGGTATGCTCGCCACCTTGAGTTATTTATAAAAATAATAAAGGAAGGGTTTTTTTTTAAAAAAAAAGTAAAATGCTGCATTATTTATTATCATAGTTTTGCAATACTAATTATCCGTAAACTCTCCAATATCTATTTGGATGGAAGTGGTAAGTGAAGTGAAATGAAACAAAATGAAATTGAAGAATAACGAGATCTTGAGTGTGACATTTAATTTGTATTTTTAGTAAGCCTCATATGTAAACCAACTCTTGCTGAAGGACTATCAAGTGGAAAGTGAAAAAATGATATAAACAAACCCAGCACCGTCTGCAAAGCTGCAGTCAATCTCTCATTTTTTTAGTAGTATTTTATCTCTGGAGGTCTAGCCAAGAGGCCCAAAATTAAGTCAGCTGACATCCATTTCCAGCTACCATGTTCTATTTACAGGAAGTAATTTTCTGGTGTTCAGTAAGGAACATAGAAATAGCAATAGCACTTAGATTTATATTCCATTTAACAGTGCTTTAAAGCCCTCTCTAAGTGTCAGCATATTGCCCCCAACAATCGGGGTCTTCATTTTACCAACCTCGGAAGGATAGAAGGCTGAGTCAACCTTGAGTGATGCAGTCAGAATCAAACTGTTGGCAGTCGGCAGGCATTTGCCAGAATGGTATAGGATCTCCTGCTTGAGTAGGGGTTTGACTGGAAGACCTCCAATATCCCTACCAACTCTGTTAATTTATTATTACCATCCATCACAGCAAATATTAATGAGTGGATTATGGAAATGACTCTATATTATATAGGTCTCCATCCTACATTATCACTGGAGACTCGGCCCAAAGGACTGCATTGTTGTTCCCAATGCCAAATAAAAGTTGTGGGGGGAGGGACTGATTGACTTGACTCACCCCAGAAAAACCTTCCTCTTTTCTTTTGAAGTTCCAAGGATGTCACAGAATAAGGAAAAGGCATTGGAAGGAGCAAGTGAAATTATCAGAAATATACCACAGTTCAAAGAAAAATAAAGAATTAAGGATTAGAAAAACAATGTTAGCTTAGGCCCACTGCGTTTCAATATTTTCACGTCAAACATTAGTTTCACTACTTAGGAAATTTAGGAGATACATGTTTCTGCTACCACTGAATAGTTGGCAGAATGAATGATAACACCATCAGCCTTGGGAGCAATTTCCTTTTGGGAGGAGCTGCTACTGAAATGGCCCTGTCTATAAGCTTTACCAAATTGGTTCTCCGGAGTGAGAAATTAAAAGGATCGAAGTGAATATGGGAACTTGTGGGAAGTCTCATAGGGAAGGAGTATTTATGAACCCCCAAATGGGTGGCAATTTTTTTTATAATGTCTGAAATGATATAAAGTCCCCTGCTTGAACACAGAGTTGGACTAGAAGACCTTCAAGTCCCTTCCAACTCTGTTATTCTGATATCTTTTAGGACTTTGGTTTTACAAAGTCAGTAACTTGAGATCGGTCCAGAAACAAATGAGAAGTAATTCATAACCAGGTTAACGTATCTACCAAGCAATTGATGAAATACAGCTGCCACATTTGACTGGAACTGGAGTTTCAGTACATTTATCAATATCATGTGTGTATTCCTGTAATTAGGATGAAAAATGATTAAGGACAAATCAATGTAACCAGATGTTTTCTTTTTCTCAAATGTTAATAGCATCCAATTCNAAATCACTTCCAAAAGATCTTGCCAAGAAAACTGCAGGAAATTATCCAGGCTGCTGCTAGGACTCACCCCCCCCCCCCCCCCCCCCCCCCCCCCCCACGTTTTAAAAAATGGGCACTATAACTTAAATTTTGCAATATGATCTAAATCTGCATTTATTAAAAAATATCAAACCTTCAGGTGCTGACAGCTACCCCAATTTTGACGCCTCTATTGGAACATTTAAGTTGGCTGTACAGACATTTTTTAATTTTGTGAGATACATTTCATCTGCAGCATATAAATGTATACTAGAGCCCTGAAATTAAATGAAGCAACTCTTGATTAGCATACATTACCTATAGGCACCAAGTACCCACCAGACCTCTGAAAAGTACCGTTGAACACATCCATGCACAACAAACCACTTGCTGAAATACATATTGAACCACTATTTACAGGGTGATTTTTTGGGTTGAGAGTGCTGTAGGCTACTGTATTTAGAATTCTTGCTCAGAACAATTCATATTCTCTCTCCCTCTATAATTTTGTCAAGAGTTTTTATGTAATTAAAAGAAAAGACAAGAGAAAAAGTATATAAAATAGAAAAAAAGGATAAAAACAGTACAGACAAGCAAAGGAAAAAGAAAGTTAAAGAGCCACTTCCAGTCTTCTTTATGGCAATTACAAGGGAGCTGAGGATAATACTTGATTACCTGCACAGTCCTATGGATGCTCTGGCAGCTACTTGAGTAGGGACGTGGCCAGAGCCTTGTATAGGATTGTGCCCATTAGAACTGTCTTGGCCTGTTGCTCCCTGTGGTTCAGAGAAGACTTGAAGGAGCTGAAAAGGAGCTTCAGCTTGGCGCCTTGCTGGTATTCTGTCATCAGTTGGGGAAGAGGTGGAAACATATGGGAAATAAATCTGTATTATGGGAAATAGGGAGGGGGGATTGACAGTTGAGGAAGAGTAGAGTGGTTTGGAAGCTGGTTTGCGCTGGCACACTGCCATCTTCAAGGCCATTTGCACTGAGTATGGAATTTCACCAGCCCAAACACCTGAAAACATCATGGTGTGCTGGATTGGCTACTACTGGGCCCACCCTTGTTGACAGTTGTCATCCAATCTTCCACCTTCCCTTTTTAAGGAAGGTGGTTTAGAAGATGGTGGAGTTTCAATTCCAGAGGATGTTGGTTGAAATTGATTATCTGGCCCTTTTTAGTCAGGTTTCAGGTCTTGATACAGAACAGAAACAGCACTGTTTGTATTTTTAGATTAGGTAATTTTTATAATTCTTCCTTTCCAAGGCTAGTGAATATATAAGAGTATGTATAATCTTTCCTCCTATTCTGAAAGACCTGTCAACTCTTAGGAATAATTTTTTAGAAGATGAAAGTAACAATGGAATCAGTGGTGGGCTGCTGCTGGTTGAACCGGTAGTTGTGACCTCCCAGGCACAATCCCATCTTATATCGCTGTGTTTTTGACGCACACATGTGCGGAAGGCGCATGTAAGTGAATTGCTGTGTTTTTTAACGCTGCACGCATGGGCAGAAGGCGCATGAGAGCGAATTGCCATGTGTTTTGATGCTGCATGCACGTCCGCACACTCACTTTTCCGGTGATGCAGTATGTGATGCCCACCTTTGCATGGATTGAATAGGTGTGGAAATTGCCCTTTCTCTTTTTGTGAACAATTTGTATGCAGCCTCAACTATTAATACGCTTAATAATAGTGCTTAAATAATCTGCTCCATACAGGGTAAGAACATATCTTCCATTCAAAGTTGCTCAGATAAGTATTTTCAGATATGTAATGAAACTTACTTCAGAATGCAGCTTTATATTTACAAATGCCACCTCTTTATTTCAGGCACAACTGATTCTGCTATAAGAAAAAGCAAAAATGATAAAGTTAACTGTTTTAGTCATGGAAATCGGTTATGCAACAGTATTTTACCTAATGGAAATCTAACAGTAAGAGATTCTTCGGCTGGCACACAGTTTGTTCAAATTCAATTGCTTCAGGTAACAATTGGCAATTTAACTTACGGAAAATAATCTTTTTTCCCCAAGAACATGTAATTGTGATTTGTGATACAATATGTTGGTGGAGATAGCTAGATAGAGCAAGTATGTTATGATTTGGGGCAGCAAACCCAAATTCTGCTTAGAAAATAATTGCAAAGTTTAAATTTCCAATGATATTTCTTAATCACATGTCTAAAATCTTGGTTTTTTAATCACATGATCAGTATTGCCTTCCCTTTGCTTCATAAATAAATATTTGCAATTATTTCTTTGAAGAATGCTGGTAATAAATAACAGAAATGTAAAAAGATATATTTGACAGTTGATAAAATCAGGGAAAGAGGGGGAAATGAATTCAAGTGCAATTTTGTGCTCCTCAACTAAGTGGCTATTTCTCTACCTGTGAAAAGAGAGATGTGCTACTAAAAATTTCCCTGGTACCCTGCTGCAGCAATAAAGGTGCTACTGGTAGATGGAATGTTAGAACCATGAACCAAGACATATTTCATGTCAGTTTAGAAATTTTGAGATTCAGTATTGACGTTATAGGAGCCAGCAAACTTAAATGGACTGGAATGAGTCACTTCACATTAGAGAAGAATTTTCTATTCAGAGAAGAAAAATCATAGATGAAATTGAGCACTGGCATTGCTAATACATGAGTGTCAAAGGGTTCAAAGTTCCCAAACAGTAGAATGATACAAATTCAAAACCAAACCAAGCCAATCAATATCACAATGATCTTAGTCTTCAGTTGCAGAGGAACCTATGAGGAACTTGTAGTGCCTTATTAGCATGACATCATATAGATTAGAGGTCAGCAACCCGTGCCTCTGGAGCCACATGTGGCTCTTTCATCCTGCTGCTGGGGCTCCCTGTCGCCAGTCAGTTCCACAATTGATAGGGCTTTCAGTTAGGACAGGTAGAGGAAAAAGGATGCCACTCTAGGAGAAGACTATAGTGGGAGAACTGGACTTCCAGTCGGCTCCGGAACTGAATGGAGGGCTTCTGTTTAGGACCTTTGTGACTCTTTGAGGATTTAAAGTTGCCGACCCCTGATATAGATTATAGGAACTGCCTAGAAAGCAAAAGTTGAAATTAAGATAACATTTGGAATATGGTTGGTCCTTGCTTAACAACTGCTGTGTTTAGTGATGTTCGAAGTTACAAAAGCACTGAAAAAATAACTTTATGAGAGGTCAACACGGAGAGTTGACACTTGCATATATGACCAACATCCCCCGGAAGTTCAGGTTGCTTCACAAACAGCTTTTGAGAAGCATAATCAATGGAGAAGCCAATAGTAAAATCACAAGTCACAGTCACATGATTTTTTGCTTAACAACCGTGTCACTTAGTGACAGAGTTACTGGTCTCAATTGTGACTATTAAGTGAGGATTGCTTGCAATGGAAAAAAAATGTTATAGAGGGAGCATTTCTTGGAACAACTCTTATTTTGCCACAATATGAACAACCCCGAGAGATGGTTTGGTTGTGAGAGAGTAACTGGCCCAAAGTTACCCAGCTGGTATTCATGCCTAAGGCAGGCCTAGAACTGTGGTTTGTAGGCCATGACTTTAATCATCACAGTTACACCAAACTGGTTCTCCAGTTTCTTTTTTCTTCTGGCAATCTTAGCTATGACACCATGATGGACAACATTAAAATCAAGTTGGTTATATGCTTATTCTGCAAACAAAAATGGAATGGTCTTCTTTTAGCAAAATATTTAACACTGAAAATGTATGTCTTCTGAAAGAAGTTGATGGCAATATAATTTATTGATTAATGTGTGTGTATTAAGTCAGTGTTGATATAAATTGAGTTGCAAAAGTGAAAGTGTGGGGGCTCCTAATTGAAGTTATTAAAGTGTTTTGTTACTGTAAGTATGTATATGTTAACTGCTTCTAAGCACATCCACATGTTTGTAAAGAATGACCAGTTGGTGGTTGGAATGGGTCATGGGACAATACTGTTTGTAGTTAGAAACTCATTTTGACTCCTTTGTTGCTAGGATGATTCTCCAGGAGAAGGAGATCTACCCTTCCAGCTCAGTTCTCAATCTTCCTCTTCACACTCTCAGTTGACAGTAGATTTACCTGTTCATATTCTTCAGGTACAAAATTTTTCAGTTTCAAAATTGGATAAAATGCAGCTTCAGCTGATTTCATTATAATAAAATTAACCACTACTTTAAGTTTACAATAAGGTTCCTTCTGTATTTGGTTGTGCCTTTTAAATTTGGTAGGTTAAGGTAAAGGAGAAAATAGAAACATGTTGCAGGCTTTTTAGTGAGAGTTTTTACCTGTTGAGAAATATGGATAGTTTATTCCTATAAACAAAGTCAATAGATTTTGAAGACTGCAGTGTTTGTATAATCTAAAGAGTATAATTAATCAATTGCAAATTGTGAAACTCTGAACCTTTCTTAACATCTTGCTTTAAACAGGAGCCACACAATTCTGCCGAAGAAGATGCCAATTCTGATAATTCCCAGTTTACAGGAAGCACCATTAATCTACAAGACCTGGAATGATTGTGTTGGAGACAGAAGCATTAGAACATTCAGACACAGAAGCATCCTGAGAAATAAGAGTCTGTTCCTGCTTTTAAAGGAAAAAGTGAACAATGGAAGCATGGTCACCAGTGCTGGGATACTTGATGGTTATCGTGCAACAAAAATCTTGTTCAGTACATTTTATTTGATAAGGCAATTGGAGATCTTGGTATGTTCTGTCTTAGAGTCAGGAAAAGGTACATATGGCAGAATTAAGAGTCCTGCATTAGAGTGCAATGGTGATATCCCACAGTGATTTTAAGAATAATTAAGAATTAATAATGATTCTCCAAATAGTAGATAACAATTAAGCTTAGCACTTTTTTTCTTGAAATGAATCCCTAATTAAATTTGGAGTTAAAATGAAGGAATAAGCAGGAAGACCAATTTATTTTTGCAAACTGACATTTTAAAGAGATAAGAGCATTAGAATAGTACCATACTCAGGGATAGTAAAGATTGAATTAGTAGAGCAATATGAGTTCTTGCTCTTGCTATCTCTAATTTAGCATTTTACACTGAACTTGAGAAAACTGCCTAGTACATGTTATTTCTTATCACTTTGGTTATGTTTACAGTAATATAAAACAGTATTGCCAATTTGTACATATCCACTTTTATTACATATACCTATCATGGTGCATTTTTGGTCAAAAATAGGTTTTGCTGATGTCAGTAGAATTTACTCCCAAATTAATGTTGAAATGATGGTCTGCTTATTATTTACATACAGACTATCTGGCTGAAGAAAGAGCTTCCAGCTAGTATCGGTAGTATATAAAAGTAACATCTTGACCGAAATGAAAAATAACATCTTTAAATATATATGTTTTTAAAACACCTATCTTTTATTATAGATAACAGAATTAATTCATGCAGACTTTTAAGAAAAAATACTAAGAAATCAGCTAAGCAGAGAAATGTCAGTGTTTTACAAAAGAATTTAAGTCTGGAACTTAAAAGATTTTATTCATGATATGCCACATGGCATTAAAATTATACATATGTACGACTTAGTTAAAAAGTTGTGTGAGCTTTGTTGTTTTTTATACAAAGATGTCCTACAAAGGAACACTTTGAATTTTTTCTTATTTATTTACAGTTAGAAGAAAATTAAAGGTTAATTCTTTTGAATATATGAGGAGTGAGCAACAAATATCTCTAAATTGACCCTTCCATCACATTCTAAATTTGTATCCTTGGAACTCATGCTTAAGTAAAAGTAGCCTTGTCCTATTACCTCTGCAACATCTCTAGCAGCACTGAAAAAGAGGAAGACTGATCAACAGCCTTCTCTGTCCTTAAAATGTTACTGTGCGTCATGTGGGCACCTATGTTTTGGAAGTCAGGAGCCTTAGGAAATATATTTCCTAGAGCTGTTGAAATCTGAAGAGAGGTTCTTGAGGTTGATGTCCCTTCATACTACGTATATACTAGGAAGATATTAATGTCTGGAATAGCTTTGGAAATACTATTTTCTACTGTGTTTAATGAACCATGGATAATTTCTGTCTTGGATTATTCATAATAGATTATTCCAAATTAAGAAGATTTACCCATAAATAGAATTATACTAATTGATGCCTGTGCCTTTTGAACTTCATTTTCAGAAGAATGTAGTTTAGAAGCATTTTATACAGATTACATTAATTCAATTTCATTTGTGGATGTTTTTTAGAAAAAAAAAATCTTGAGTGGGTAATTTTTCATTGACTGTAAAACGTTTACCTATCGTGACCTATTACTATACATTTACATTATCAAAACAAATTGTTTTTGTTTCTGATATAAAACCTCTCGGTGAAAAAGTGAAGAAATTGCTTATTTTTAAACAACTTTTCTTTCTATCACCAAGGTTCAATTTTAAAGAGAAATGGGGGCATTTTGCCCTAAACAATTGTCACCTCAAAAACTCAGTGGAATAGTTCACACACTTACTGTGATAGTGATCCTCTATAAATTGGAATGCAAGCATATCTGACTGTTATAAAGACACAGGTAGATTTAGATTAAATAGGTGGGCGTTAAGAAGCCTGTTCATTCCTCATATCTTTTCTTTGAGTAAAAAAAAACTTTCTGTGGTTTCCACAGTAGGTGTGGCCTAGATTTTCTTCAAAGCATGTATGGGGCAGATTACTCAATTCTTTTCAACCCAAAGAGGATCCCTAACTTGGTAAGAATGTGAATTGTATCCATTTGTTGTGGTGCTTCTGCTTTACGGAGTCTTACTTATTGAAGAATAAGTAATTGCTTCTGTGGACAGACAAATGTGTTCTTTTATGAAGTTTATATACTCAGTTTTAACTCATTGTAAATTCCTAATGGCTTGAGAACAAGCATTAGATTTATTCTGGCAAAGTCCATTGCTGGCAATGGATATTTATAATCACGGAGTTAAAAGGATTAATAAAATTAATTAATGTCCCAGTTTCTTCATTTCAACTTTATTTTTGTTATGTCCATACAATCTACTTAATTACAAAAATGAATCTGATATTGAAAATTGAATTTTTAAAAAAGAAATTTGTATTATCATTGTTATATCTATTTTCCTAGCTGCAAGACTTTAGATTAGTCTGTGATCTTTGATCACTTTGGTAGATATTTTCTATCACTAAGTTAATTTACTGAGCCCCTCCCCCCCAAAAAAGATTTTACAACTATGAAAAATTTGAAACATTTTGCTCTACTGTATGTCACTATACTTAGGATAGAGTAGCTTTCTCCCCAAATTTACAGAGTATCTGTTGAAACATTTTCTTGTTAGTTTGTCATTTTCTGTATGCTTCATAATGTCTTGCACCTTTCAACTGCTAAGTAAAGTAATAGAGCAGCTCTTCTTTTTCTTTATCGATCAGCCCCTGATCATGATCTTCTTTCTCCTTGAAAGCGGGAGGCTCAGAACGAAAAATTAATCTTCTGCCAGTCTAAAATATGATCAGAGGGACACTTAAGAACTCTGCACATTTTATACTGAAATAATGTGAATAAATTAATTTTGCACTGGGCGTACATAAGTAAAAGCAGGCGCAACTTCTCCTGACCACCTTTTTTTCCTGAACAGTTTTATTTCTTCCTTCCACAAAGAGGTTTCTCACTATGCTTCTTCCAGCAGGGAATATTCAATACTTTAAAAGTGGCTGAATTAATAATTCAGCTATTCCAATTTTTATTTTCTTCCACTCAGCCATCTCTTTTTTTAAGATTGTCTCCATTTATAGGATTGGTTTTCTTTTAGTCCATTGTGGTCAATCCCAATGATTCAGAACATTAACAACTCAATATTGCCCCCACCAATCTGTGTCTTTATTTTACTGGTGAAGGATGGAAGGCTGAGTCAATCTTGAGCTAGTCAGGATTGAACTCTTGGTGGTAAGCCGAGATAGTCTGCAATACTGCATGTGTAGACATGGGCTCTTGGTGTTTTCTGAGCTTCCTTGTTTTCTTGCAGACATTTCATTACCCAAACTAGGTACTTTATTTTTCCCCAAAATAAGACCTCCCCAAACAATAAGCCCAGTCGGGCTTTTGAGCACATGTGCTAAAATAAGCTCTCCCCCAAAAATAAGGCCTCCTCAAAAATATTGCAACACAGCAGCAGCCATAAGGTGATCACGCTCGCCACCACCTGCACCTCCAAAATAAAAAGACCTCCCCCAAAATAATGCCAAGTGCTTATTTTGGGGATAAAAAGAAAATAAGACCCTGTCTTATTTTTGGGGAAACACGGTAGTATCGGTGCTAGTGATGATGTTACTTAGTTTGGGTAATGAAACTTCTGCAAGAAAACAAGCACGCTCAGAGAGCACCAAGGACCCCTCATTTCAACCCTGAGCTACAAATATTATCCTTTATTGGTACTTCATGGACTGGGGTTACAAAAGGCTTGGGATGGAAGAATTGATAAAACAGTCTGAGCTGCTGAAATTACAAAAGGATGCAACAGCAGATGCTCGAGAGATAAACATACCTTCTTCTTAACATCAGCTTGTGCTCTTGCCAGGGCTCGCTGCAGCCTCTCTTCCTGCAATTGTCTCTGCTGCCTGACCTTTTCTTCTCGCATCCTGGCCAAATAAAAGAGCAGGTTAAAAGTTACAATTGCAAGTCACATAAGCCCAAAATTGTCTTAGAGAATTCTACTGATTTGTGTCATATAGAGCATTGGATCCACAAAGAACTTTGCTCTTCACATAAGGCTACATTGAAAGCCCCTTCCAGGATAAAGAACTGGCTCCAAAAGGGTTAAATGCTATCTGATTCATGGTCTCAGGCTCAGCTGATTCTGGGATTGGTATCCCATATTGACAAAATATCTGTAGTATATACTCTGCAAAATGGAGCTTTTCTGACACTTCATTGTATTACCTCTATCAGAACCTTTATTGTAAGTGCTGGTGCAGTTCAAACTCAGTTTCCAGTGTCCTTAAACCCATATGATTGACAGCAAGCAAACGTTGTTGTTTAATAGATGATACTTATAAGGCAAGATATTTCTATGCATGTAATGTAGGAACACAGGATTCATCCGTGTCCTACTCTTACAGTTCATTTGATAGCAGTAACTAGCACTTAGACTTATATACTGCTTCATAGTGCTTTAAATCCCTATCTCTGGTTTATGGAGTCAGTATATTGCCCCCAACCATCTGGGTCCTCATTTTACCGACCTCAGAAAGATGGAAAGCTGAATCAATCTTGAGTGGTTCAGAATCAAACTCCTGGAGTGAACAGTGAGTTAGCCTGCAGTAATGCATTCTAACCATTGTGCCACCATGGCTCTTGGATGCTCTTACCATTCTTACAAAGCAGTTTTGATGGCAGCAAAAATCATAGCATCAATAAGATTAACTAGAAGATGCACAGAAGGAGGTGGAGGAGGAATGCAATCATTCTGTTGAAGGCATCATATGAATGCATTCAAGCTGCTAGGTTGGCAGAAGCTGGGACAAGTAACGGCAGCTCACTCGGTTACGCGGTGCTAGGGATTCGAACCGCCGAACTGCTGAACTTTCTGAAAAAGTCTGAATAGGATTTTTATCTTACCTCATCCTTCGCTCTTTCTCTTTGGATTTCTCAGCTTGTTCTATCTTTCCTGGAGACACCCTCTCAAGGCATTCTAGCAAGTCATCTAATTGATGTTCTATAACAGTAAGCATCTGCAAGGTTCCCAAGTTTGCCTCATTCTCTCCAATGCAGCGACGATAGACTTCCAACACCTTTCGATACAAACTCGCCAACATTTTGTCCTGCAAATTAAGAACCAATAGTGAACTTTCAGTCCTCAGAAATCTAGGTATTGGGATTTAACATCAGCTTTCAATAATATTAATAAATCAAAAGTCCTCCCATCTGAACTGTTTTTAAGAAACCTAGCTGTGACGTGGGCTCTTCATAGCAGGAGAGATCCAAAAAAATTTACAGAAAGAATTTGAACCTCTCCAGATGGGGAGAGCTACAAAAGATAAAGCATTGTGAAGCATTGCATGTACATGCAAATGCTTAGATGAGCTCAGATCTGATCTCCATTTTCTTCTTCAACAAAGTTGTGACTTCAACAGCATGCCACCTAAATCTTCACTGTCTCTCTCTCTCTCTCTCTCTCTCTTTTTTAACCTTTTCTTGGGATCTGG